CCCCGCAAAAATGCGCTGGGCCCGCCCGGCATACAACCGGGGGACCCAACCGGCCGGGCCGCCCGGGACCCCTGCCGGACGGAGGCTGGGCCGCCGGGCGGCCTGGAATTTAACACAGTTTTTTCCTTCTTTGTTTCATTTTTTTTCTTTTCGGCCTCCAACCCTGCCCCGATCCCCGACTTTTTCGGAGCAGGTTACTTTTGAGACTTAGCATCCGAGTGAGAAAGGTAGTGGTGGCTTAAAAAAAAAAAAAACATTGAGCAGTCATCTCTGACAGAATGCCAGGGCACAGGGTGCACAAAATGTTGCCCCACGCATTCCCCCCTTCACAGTGCACTTTGCAGATTGTATAGGGGAAGGAAGCCCTTGCATGAAGCCCTTGCATGGTAGGCAAGGGAGAGAGGAGAGGCGAGGAGAGGATCTTGCTCCAGAGAGAGAGGGAGGAAGGGAGGGAGGGAGGGAGGGAGGGAGGGACAGGAGACGCGAAGGAGGGAGGCGGGCAGGCATCTATTTCCCTATCTAGTTGCCAATGCAAGAGAACTAATAAATTAGACTATTAGATAGTTAAAGGAATAGAAAATTAGAGAGTTAACCAGGGGATGAGGTCAAGGCCCTCATATGCCTCCTGCAAGCCAACGACATACCATGGCAGCACTCGGCATGTATACAGCTATCCCATCTCGACCTCCCTTCCACCCGGACCACCCGGTCCATCCCCTGCAATGGTTAACAAATCTGGACTGGTCGGTGCCTGGTCCACTGTGCCATAGAAGAGATGGGTCGGCCAGAAACGCAGTCAGGTGGGACCTCAAACATGACCCTCGCTGGACCTCTATATTACACCTATGGAGACAGATGGGGCCAACCAAAAAACTGTCCCCCCTTAGGTGGCACGAGATATGGAGACAGACGGGGCCAAGCAAAAAAACGCCCCACCAAGTATGTGATGAATTTCAGACGCCATTCTCCATGACAGCCAACTCCCACTCGCTCACATGGGTAAAGAATGGTATCTATGTGTTGGGTGACCTCTGGGACAGCCATAACGGAACATGCAAGTCCCCCCAACAACTACAGCCCAACCTAAGGAATATCAAACACACCATTGATAAGCTACAAAATCTCCAAGCAGCAGTCCCGCCTAGATAGGTAGCCACTCTTCAGGAAGGACCAACGTTTCACAGTCTCGACTGGGTCACATACAACACTCCGAATCCCATCCCTATGACCATCTACAGGATAAGTCATATAAACGGGGAAGAAGCCCGCCTGCAGGCCTTTGTCGCATACACATCCAAACATGACAAGTATAGTGCAGATCCAAGGAGTTGACTCAAAGCAAGAGACTATATAGACGCAGCGGAAGACTGAACATACATCTGACACAGCAATATCAGAATGGACAATGCACACTCATACATGCATCACACGGTGAGAAGGGGGCAGTGCAGCATACAAGGAAAGGTATTGTCTTGACGTCGGTACTGGAGTGCTGAAGACGAAGCTGGAGCGATGGCGCCCCAGGTGAGTCATCAGGTAAGTCCCAGTGTCTGGCCTCCACCTTCTCCTGTTGCGTCTCCACTACAGCCTCCACGCTCGCCACCTCCAACCTACCGCTACTTCGCCCAGCGCTGAAGACTCACACAACATAACGCTGAATACTAACTCACACTGACATCCGAGTGAGAGGCAGACCAGTCTATAAATACTAATGGTCTGGCCTCTCCTAGGTCCTAC